AGGGACCAAGACCCAGCAGCAGAAAACGTCCAGAACCAACCGCTACCATGCTCAAGGCTGTTCCCCACATGCTAGGGCCAAGCCTCACACGAGTGAACCTATTCCTGGACCATGTGGCCACGCTACATATCATAAGACACTCCCTACCCATTCTTCTTAAGTACCACACCACATTTGATGGGTTCAAATAATAGGAAACAAATCAAGAAGGAAATATATATATACATATATGCATATATACATATTTTCACATATATATACGAAAGCTCATATCACTCAACCTTTAACAATATGTTAGTTGATATCCTAAAGAACGTCTTAATGGCCCCTGCCAAAATAGAACAATCTTCACACTGTTTCCTCTATGGATATTTTTTTGTAGCATTTTCAGTGTTTTTTCATAACAGACAATAGAAAATATATTATTTCGGCTGTGCTATGGGCTAGGGATTGGGGCTTGGGATGGAAACATCCCAAATTTTGTGGTGGGAAGGTGTAATGGTTGTGGGATTGGTGTTTGAATATTAAGTGTAATCAAATATTGTGAACTACCTTATAAAATCCATGGCATTGAATAGCACAATAGCATTGAATAGTGAGTAGGGTGTTTGCCTTGAATGTAGTCGACCCAGGTTCGATTCCTCCATCCCTCTTGGAGAGCCCATCAAGCTACCGAGAGTATCCCGCCCGCACAGCAGGGCCTGGCAAGCTTCCCGTGATGTATTCGATATGCCAAAAATGGTAACAAAAAGTCACAATGGAGACGTTTCTGGTGCCCACTTGAGCATACTGATGAACAACAGGAGGACAGTGCTATGACAGTGACAGTGCAGTGCTACCTTATAAAATAAAAAAATTAAAAAAATAAAAGTAGCCCTGGGTGTGACTGGGGAGTCATTTCTGACAGATTTCCAGGGATTGCAGAGTGATCTCCCCCACCCCTGGAAAAGGAGCCAGTAGATCAAATAAGTTTAGGAACCTCTGGATTAGAAGATAGGATTAAAAGTGGCACTGAGGGGTTAGAGAGATTATACAGTAGGTATAATCTGCCTTGCACAAGGCTGAGTCGGGTTAAACCCCCAGCAACCAATATGATCATCCAAGTCCCATCAGGAGTGAGCCCTGTGCCCAGAGAAAGTCCTGGCCACCACCAGCTGTGACCACAAAATGGAACTTTTTTTTCTTAGAACCGCATTTTTTTGGTAAATATATATTTCATAACCAAGACAGAAACTTTAAAGTTGCTAAAACTTGAATTGTCACCATCTACTAAGAGTTCTTTTATGTATATCTTTTCCCCTATTTTATTTTCCTCTCTGTGCATATGTACATGTGTATACAGAGGCACACCTAAGCCCAATGTTTTGAAACACAATTTTTTCACAGAAGCTGAAATGCATAGCATTCTCAACTGTTGGTTGGTAGGCCCTCTTTTACTGAACAATTCCTCAGTTGCTGGATATTCAGGTATAGAAGCAATATCCTATAGTTTTTGACTTTATTATTGAGTATATTGTATCATGCAAAATATTCATGAAAAATGGCTAAGGGTTAACATTTTGCATGGGGAGGGGAAGGCTATGAAAAATACTTCAACAGTATCTGTTTTAACTAGTGAAATAAGTCAGAGGGAGAGGGATAGAATGACCACACTTATATAAAGAAACATAGTAGTATAATACCCCAAAACAATAGAAATGAAAGGCAGGAGAACTGGTGCTTAGTAGGAAACTTGGCACTGTTGGGGAGTAGGGATAGGTCAGAAAAGGGACCACTATGACAAAGGCAGAAGAAGTGGTCACTCTAGATGAGGACTGGGTGCTGAAAGGAGGTAAGGTGATATGCAGGATACCCTATCAGTAACAGCGTTGCAAACCACTGTGCCTTAATGGAAAAAGGAAAAAGTGCCTGCAATAGAGGTAGGCTGGGGGATGGGAGGAGGGTGTCCCTGGTGGAGGGACACTGATGAAAGAACTGATGTTGGTACATTGTACACCTGAAACTCAATCATGAATAGCTTTGTAACTTTGTGATTCATGGTGATTAAATTAAAAAACAACAACAGTATGTTTTTAGATGGTTACATGGGATTACATGTAACTTTTTTTTACATACTTACTGTATTTAGCAAATGATTTCTAATGAACACAAAAGTGCAGTCATTTACTAAAATGAAGAGGTCTGTCTGCCTCTGTAAATAACACTAAAATTAAATAACTGGGGAAAAGGCACATTTTAAATGAAAACAAGGAAGGATTTAAGACTGTATGCACATAGGTACTTGTAACACACACACAAGAAATACTCAAAGTCTAACACCAGGAGGTGCTACTTAACTAAACAATGTTACAACAGATTATTATAGAACTAACTGAAAGAGTGAGATAGATCTCTAGGTGCTACCACAGAAAAGCAGTTAAATGAATTAGTAAATGAGAAGACTAGGGTATGTAGGAGTATGAATGGTATGATTCCAAGTGACAGAAACAAAAAAATACGTTAAAGAGAGAGATGGGGTATTCATTTTGCAAGCACAAGACGTTCTAAAAGCATAACCAAGAACTATCTATGGTGGTACTGGTAGAGGGGCGTGGTTTGGGTTAAGAGGGAACAGAGTACCACATGAAAATATGAAAATGTGCAATAATCCGTAACGCACAAAATGGACAGTATACCCACAAAGAGTATCAGGAAGCATTTCAAGAAGAAATTAATATGGAAAAACAATGGAAAAATGGAAAGTTTAATCTGCATTTTAGGCAACTTAAAAATGAAACAGCCATGGGAATGAGTGTGATTGGCATAGCAAAAGCCAATTAAATGGGTATGATCACAGATTTACTGAAGAGCACATATTTAAGAAAATTAACTTCAAGGGGAGGAGCAACAGTACAGCAGGTAGGGATCCTGTCTGCACGGTCAATCCCCAGCACCCCATATGGTCCCCCAAGTCCTGCTAGGATCGGCCCCCTCTCATCCCAGGAGTGCAAATACATTTCATTTGTTTCACATGTGAATACAGTAGAACTGAGACCCTTGGGTTTATTTTTTTTTTCTTTTTGGATCATACCCAGCAATGCACAGGGGTTACTCCTGGTTCATGCACTCAGGAATTACTCCTGGCCAAGCTCGGGGAACCATATGGGATGTTGGGAATCGAACCTGGGTTGGCCACGTGCAAGGCAAACGTCCTACCGGCTGTGCTGTCACTCCAGCCCCCAGAACTGAGACCCTTGGATGGCCAGCTTTCCTTCAACCTGGCTTTTGAAGTTATCATGATTATGTTCCATCATACATACTGAATGCATGTATGATGAAAATACCAGGAAAACGCTCCTCTCCCCTCTCCCCCAGGATTTACAGCCACAATCTGCCATGAGGAGAATCAGCAGGGGAAACGAGACAACACACAAATGAGACAACACACGTCCAAAGCTGATTTTGAGTTTTGAGAAACTCAAAATCAGACGACAGGGCACAGTGAAGACCATGGCAGTCAGAAACTTTCCCTTCCCATCTGGTATGTGACTCGATCATTCCCACCCTGCACCCGCTTAAAGTGATGCACTCGGAGGGGGCTGGATTAGCTGGAGGGAATGAAGGAACAGGGGGTGAGATGGGGGGCGGGCAGTAAGGTTTCCTGACAGTCTCCCGGCTCATCCTTTCCCACCCCCGAGCATGGGATCTGAAACGGAGGGCAGAACCAACGAGGCACGGGGCAGCCAGCCAGATCAGACGGGCCATCCATCACCCGGACTCCCGGGACCAATTAAGCACGGAAAAACTCCCCGTCGCAGCACGCAGCGGCCAGGGGCAGGCCTTGCAGCACTTTCCCTCCCGGCGAAAACACTCTGGGCTCGTCCGGCGTGCCCGAGTCCGGGGGACCCTTGGCTACGGGTGGAAGACAGGGCGTGAAAGACTCCGTGGACGGGCCACCGTGCCGCCGCCACCGCCACCACCACCACTCACGCGGGGCATCACAGACCAACGCGTCTTCTCTCCAGGCTCCGGCACCAAGGAGCCCCGGGACTACCCCACCCCGCAGGCGATGTCCACTCCGGGCCGGTCCTTAGTAACTCTGGGCGCAGCCTGGCCTCCGAGACTGACTGCTGGCCCTGCGTCCCGGGCGATGGCACTCTCCAAGGACCTACCTGGGCCATCGCCGCGGCGCTCCACCTGGCACCTCCACCCCGGGGATAGGACGGAAAGCGCCTCCCCCCCCCCCCAAAAAAAAACAACAACAACCCCACCCCCGCTGGGAAACAGGGACCAGACAGGGTGCGCGAAAGACCAGGGGCGAGACGAGAGGAGGCCAGGGCAAAGTTCCGGCAACGTAGCGTCCACGTCCAGTCCGTCGGACCCGAGTTCGGGGGGTGGGGCGGGGCGGGGCGGGGCGGGGGCATCTCGCGCGGCGTGCGCCCACCGGGGACGAACTCACACCTGCTGTCGGGGCCGCGCCGCCAGGCTGCTGCGGCGTCCCGGCTACCTGCTCCCGGGGTGGGGGGAACACGGGTGGGGGATAAAACTCGGTCTTGGGCCAGCGTCTAAAGCCTCTTCCGCAGACTTTGCCTCCCAACCCGCGCTAACTTTGGGAGCAGACGAGCGGGGAGGCCCGGAGGGGAAGGGAGGGGGTGGGAGGGTCAAGGTTTGCGCCACTCCGGGCAGCCCCCTCCTCCTGGACGCAGTGGCCCGCCAAGCTGCCCCCGGCTCCGGCTCGCTCTCCCCGGGGGGCGCTCGGAGGAGCACCCCCCCCCCCCCGGGCCGCGGCGCTCCCGGGGAGGGACCCGAGTGGCCCCTCCCCGACCAGCCCGAGCCTCCAGGCAGCGTCCGCAGCCGCGCTGCCCCTTTCCGGGGTCCGGCCTGGGAGCCCCGGGAAGGTGCCCGCGGTGGCGCTGGCGTGTGTAGGTGGGGAGGGGGGGTCCCCGCCTCCCCCAGGCCTGGCCCCGCCTCCAAGCCCGCGCCGCCGCTCTCGGGTGGCCGTCGGGGTCCTCCCCACTCACCCGCAGGACGTGGTAGCCTTCCGTGCCCCCGCCTGGGATCTCGACGCTCTGCGAGGAGCCCATGGCGGCGGGCGATCCTGTGAGCCGGGCCGGGTTCTGCGCTGCTCCCCGCCCCCCGCGCTCCGCCCGCTCCGGCTCCTCCGCGTAGCACTTGGGACGTGGCACTCGCACCGCCCGAGAGCCGGGCCGCACTGCCCGCCGGGAGATCGTCGCCGCGGCAGCCGGGGTCGCCGAGACGCCGCCGACAGCGCCCCCTGCCGCGAGACACCGGGAGGGACCCGAGCGCGCTCGCTGGGACGGAGTAGGGTGGAAGGGGGGGGGTGGGGGGCGGCCCGAGGAGGGGCCTGATTGTTGAACTCGCGCGAGAGAAAGGAAGTACGGTTCCTCGGGCTGTGGCATCTTGTTACGGGGCGCTGAAGGGGACAAGATTCATTCAGACGCGTCGTTGCTGGATCAAGAATGATGCCTTGACTCTAACACCCCCTGGTGGCCAGAGTCCTTGAAAGGGCTTCTTGGTCTCTGGATTTACGATGGGCTTGTCCTTGGTCGTATGTACAGAGAAGAATGACAGTGGGCTGAACACAGAATCAATCTAGCTCAGCTCAGTTTAAAAAAAAAAAAAGCCTTTCCAAAGAATAAAGGAAGACCACCCAGTTGTTTTCTAAAAAAGAAAAATTATTGTTGTAGTTTAGGTAACACGTTTATAGTTCTGGTAACGTTTATGGCTTTGATGCACAATGACCGCACCTCACCATCACTAAAGGGCCCGTGACTCTCCATCAATGTTCCCATGCTACTTGTAGTATGCCTCCTCATTTCCACAGCTCCTCCTCTCCTACCCTGTCTAGTAATGTCAGGGTAAAGCATAAGTAATATTGTAACCCAAGTTCAAGGACCCATCATTATCCAATCACTGTTCATTTCCTTGTTCTACCTTCTTGTGTACTGCTGAGTGAGTTTATTTGTTATTTGATCTCCCTCTGATTTATTTCTTTATTTTTTTGCTTTTCGCGTCATACCCAGAGATGCACAGGGGTTACTCCTGGCTCATACACTCAGGAATTAGTCCTGGCAGGGTTTGGGGGACCATACGGGATGCTGGGAATTGAACCCGGTTCTGCTGTGGGCAAGGCAAATGCCCTGTCCGTTGTGCTATCGCTCAAGCCCCAATCCCATCTTTTCTTATAGCTGCGTAGAATTCTACTGTTTATATATACCACAACTTCTTTATTCATTCATCTGATGTTGGACATTGGGGTTGTTTTCATATCCTGGAGAAGGTGCTTAGTGTTGCAGTGAATAGTTATGCACGTATCTTTTCAAATAAAGTCTTTGTGTTTGGAGGGTACATGCCAAGAAGCGGAATTGCTGGGTGATGTAGAAGCTGTATTCTTAGTGAAGTGTACATACTATTTTCCCCAGAGGCTGAACCATACAAGATTCTCACCTGCAGTGATGAAGTTTTTTTATACAGAACAACTCTGCCAATAGTGGTTGTTTCTATCTTTTTGACATATGCTATTCTCACTGGTGTAAAAACATGTATCATTCTTGTTCTAATTTGCATTTACCTGACAATCAATGATGAACATTTTTCATATACCCACTGGCCATCCATATGTCCTCTTCATAGAAGTGTCTATTCATCAACTTAACTCATTTTTGATAGGGTTACTGTTTTTTTTTCCTGGAACTTAACGCTTTACCCTTCCTAATTGTGAGAACAAGCTCAATGGTCCAGTAATAATCTGAATGATGCAGAAGCAGATGCACAATTACATGTCCTGAGTGTTTTACCACTAGCTGCTACTGGATTTTCCCTCCCACTTCAGGAGGTCAAATTGTATTATGTTACATGTTTTCCTACAGCTTTGCTCCTTTTGCCCCTTTCGGGAACTGCCTCTATTTTAACCTTTAACCAGAGATCAATTTGACCATCACCAATGGTGGTGAGTGAACAAGAGATCTGAATGCATATGCTAAGATAATGCAATGTGAAGTGAATATATTACCCATAAATGTTTCACTTGCTTCTATCACATCTTTAGCTAGATCTTCTATCTTCCAGGGAATACACAGGATAGAGGAATTGCAAGTGGCATTTCAAAGAACCAATAGGCAAACAGAGGAGGTAAGAATAATAAAACTGGTTATTCTGGATTAAAAGACAAAGATACTACATCCCCCCCCCCCCCACACACACACACTCACAGAGTGCACCAGAATAGCAATAACAAAGGGAAGGGAGAAATATAACACAAAACAATAAAAGACACACGAAGGACATAATCAGGTGATGAAGTGCAAAGTCTTAAATTGGGGGCTGATTTGGATAAAATAGCTGTAAAGGACATTTTCGCACTCAACTGGGAAATTAAAAATATGAGTGACTAATAGACAAAAAGCATGCTTATATGGGAAAGCAAAAACTATGACTGAAAATATCTGTAAATAATATGCAAACATTTTGCAGGAAGGAGCACACCTGACTATACTCGGGGCTTAATTCTGACTCTGCACTCAGAGATTACCCCTGGTGGTGCTTGGGTGAGCATATAGGATACTTGGATAGTGCTTTGCCTGGTGTCCTCTCCCTTCAGTCCCAATATGCAAACATTTAAGCAAAATACCTACTACTTCACATATGCTGGTGAATATGTAGGCTAGTATGGAGTGAAAGTCAAATTGTAACAAATTACAATTACAGTTGTAAATTCCAGGTGGTCATAAAACATAGATGTTTTATTTTGGGATTCTATATGTTGCTTATAGATACCTTCTGAAACTGTAAAATTATTTAAATTTAAAAAATTAAAGGTTGTTTCTCTTTCTTTTCCAAGTCAATATCAGGGTTTTGAGAGGTATAATAAACACACATAACAATACATAAACACAGACATGAGCTCTCAGAGACTCTTCAAGGACAGAGACTGCAGTGGAGTTGGCTCTGTGTTCTTAATAATTAGCAGAATGCCTGGCAGCAAAGTCAACAAATTAATGAATTTGATTCAAGGGAATAAATACAAGGGCTAGATCTGATGATAATGTTCTTGTTCTATTGGGCAATTATATTGTTGGTATAAGCTCTTGTTCTGTTTCACAGTCCACATCCCCCCCACCCTCCGCCACCTCCTCTCACGCGCACCAACCTCTACACTAGCCCTGGTTCCAGACCCAGACTGTAGACCTTTGATAGTCCATGACTCACATAGCAAACCCAAGACCTTCCTTAGAATTATGATATATTTCAGATTGACTTCTTGCTGGTCAAAATCAGACCTTACTTTTTCATCTCTTTTCATACTAATCCATGTGTAAGGAAGGATTTGCCCTCCCCTCCCCTCCCCTGGCCTGCCCTGTCCTCCCCTTCCCTTTCCTCCCTTCTCTTCACCCCGCCCCTCCTCTCTCCTCGCCTGTCCTGCCCTTCTCCCTTTTTTCCCTTCCCCTCCCCTCCCCTCCCCTCCCCTCCCCTCCCCTCCCCTCCCCTCCCCTCCCCTCCTTCTCCCCTCCCCTCCCCTCCTTTTCCCCTCCCCTCCCCTCCCCTTCTTCTACCCTCCCCTCCCCTCCCCTCCCCTCCACTCCCCTCCCCTCCCCTTCCCTCCCCTCCGTTGGCAGGTTGTAATCCCTTTCAACCATCACTGTAAGCAGCTCTGTCTGTATGCATTTTCCTTTAACAATGTAACCTGCACTGTCCCTGCATACAGAATGGCGTGGGGGAAGACGGGATAAATTATTTGAGATGACAATTATAGTCTTGCTTCTCCCCACTTCCTCCAATCTACCAACCCTTTTCATTCTGAGGAATAACTTAGCGCAGTTCATAAATTCCTGACTCTCCTCAGTAAAAGGGGGAGGTGAAGGGGGGCAGTTATCTTCAATCAAGTAAGAGTGAGGTGCACAGCAGAAGATTGAGATTACTCTGAGGAACTTACTTCTGGCCCTAGAGGCATCCTTCATCTTCAAAGGGGCCTCATGTAATCATCAACATGAACCTTTGTTCCCTAAAATTAGGGAATCTTGTTAGAAAGTCTGAGCTAAAGATCAGTGGAAGGAACTTAACATGTGAAAGCTGTTGTGGGTGGTTCTTTTACTTGTAAAACCCAGATATAACATCTCCCCTCCCTTCCCCTTCCTTCCCCACCCTTTTCTTTCCCTCCCTTCTTTTTTCCTTGCTCCTGATTCAGGGATCCCTCCTGGTGGGCTCAGGGGACCATATGCTGTGTCAGGGATACAACCTGGATCAGCCACATACAAGGCAAGTGCCTTACCTGCTATATTATTGTTCCAGCCTAGATTTTCTAGCTAGAAAAATTCTGTCTTTTTCCTAAGACCCATCTCAAACGTTATGTATTTATCCGTAAATTTAGAATGACTCATTCCTCACTATAAGACTTTCATTTCTGATAATGCCATCATCACAGGCTTTTCATCCATTCTCACAATTCATTCTTACAGGGTGAGCACCTTATATTTTCTCCATTCTCATAATTCATTCTTAAAAGGTGAGCATCATGTATTTTCTGTTTTAGATCCTAATTCCTGGTTGGATATTGAGAACATGGTGATTTTGTTGATTTGAATTAAAGATATGCAAAATTTTAACTTAAATATTTTTAACTTCAAAAATATTTTTATTATTAGGATTATTATTATTATTATTATTATTATTATTAGGGCTGGAATGATAGCACAGCGGTAGGGCGTTTGCCTTGCACGCAGCCAACATGGCCAACCCGAGTTCAATTCCTCCGCCCCTCTCAGAGAGCCCGGCAAGCTACCGAGAATATCTCGCCCGCAAGGCAGAGCCAGGCAAGCTCCCCGTGACGTATTCGATATGCCAAACACAGTAACAACAAAGTCTCCAATGGAGATGTTTCTGGGTCCGCTCCAGCAAATCGACGAACAATGGGAGTGGACAGTGGACAGTGATTATTAGGATAATTTAACAAATTACCTCTCTGCTCTTATTTTTCCCTTATCAAATCTGTGTTATTTCTTTAGTGTTAAGAGACAGAGAGTGAGGTACAAGCCCACTGGATTTGGGAGGGAAAAAGTATCCCCAGTTGCATCAGTATTTTGAGGCAAGTTATTTCTCTCTTTTAGTTAACAAATCCACCAAAAATAAAGGGGACAACAAAGTTCAAGAATATTGCCAAAGTTGACATAAACAGTGGCATCAGGATTTGGGAGCTGTCCAAAGTCGGTCACAATTGA